ATTTATAAACATGAGTACTATACAAATCCTAAACTCTCGGTACATATCTGTGTACCTGTTACGACAAGCGCCCTTCGTGCCTTAACTTTTCGTGCTTTGTTGCTTGCTCGGCTCCCTCTCTTCGATATAGTTCCGTGGACTTCGAAGACTAACGTACCACTACATCAGGAGTGAATAATAGATATATCTATTATTCACTCCTGATTATATGAGTTATGTCATGGACACATATATAGGCCTATAGTCATCATATACAAAGTATTATATATAATATTATATTCGTTATAACAAACATGTGTTATAACAATTACCTGTTCATTTCTTCTTTATTCCTCCCTAAATTTGAATTTTAAAAGTACTGCCCGAGAATCTGAAAATCCGGACCGACCCAATCCCAGAGCAGTCCGGATTTTTGGACTTGTACTGTGTGCCACGTCAGATGAGGACTATCCAGTCCATTTGATTTACCCACGTACTAGTACAGGATAGACCAGAGATAACAAAACTTGAGCCACTTGAGGAGTGATAAGGTCTCTGGGTTGGACTGAACACAGAAATGTTATTAGCCAGTGAGACGTGCTGTATGAAGGCAATATCTTTCTCACACGTTACACATGCAGGCTGGTATAGTAGCAGGGCCACAGGAAACGATAAAAGATCGCCCGGTCCATGTACTGATGCAGGTCTTATTAGCAGCAGAGGTTGTTCAAATTCAAATAAACACAAATATTCAAATATATTTACAATGCAGATACTTTTATATTTTTATAGAAAAAAATGATGTATCAGAGTTAGCAGCGTATATGTACAAAACCTTCAGACACGCAACACATTTTCCACTGCAATATGCAGTGTTGATCTGTCAATTTGATCAATGTTCATTGTTGACTCTCCCCTTCCAATTAGACTTTAAAAAATACTTTTTTTTTGTATCAGATTACATACTTGTATAATCACACACGATCAGTGATGAGATAACTGTTTCATACTTTACACCAAGCATATATACAAAAGGAGAGAACACCTAAAATACCAAGGTAATTATAAACAAAATCAACTTGATTTACAAGATGTGCACAGTTTGCATGGTTCTCAGACACAGATAACGAGTCAACTGCAATAACTTTCCAAAATTTGTTATAAGTTTAATACAATACAAAGGATGGGCAGATGATTACTACTCTGATAAGAACATGCCACCGCCCTGTTTCCTGGAGTATGTACATGCAGATAGCATCGCCCATGGCATCGTTCGGGTTTGTCAAATGTAGGATAGTCTCCTCCCTCAGTATTTAGTTAGCGCAGCCATGAGTAGTTCGATCTTGTGCAAAAAGTTTCGGCCTTCCACCTTGTTCCAGTTGACCTCCTGCCAGGAGCTCTCGATGTCATCCCACTTTGGTGCTGTTTTAATTAAATATTCAATACCCGAAATGATCCTCGACGATGCCGCCTACGCTGAGATAATAAAGCGTGAAAATCTGGTATTTTCCCAGGTCTGAAAACCGATGCATCGAATTCAGTGTTTAGTGCGGACTGTCTCGTTGTGAGAAGTAAACTCCGGAAACCTTCGCGTTTGTTTCCTGCCATATGGATTGACAAATGAATGAATGACGTCCTGTGTATTGATTGCCATAGTGACGAATCCCACTGTGCCACCTCACCTGGATGTAAATAAATCTCGTAGTACGCGACTGAGTCAGTGCTACCGATGGCCGCTATCAACAGGGCGCCGAAGCAATTACACAGGCCACACGCCGCTGAGAGAACAGTCACAGTAACACTGATCTCGAGTCGGTTTTCGGCGAAAATACTATGATTTTCACGCGCTCATCTATCTCAGCAATAGGTAGCATCCGTAGGGACAAGCGGTTTGCGTTTTATATTAAACAAGGTAGGACAGCTGATCAATAATACCCCTGCAAGAATCGCAAAATAATATGGGCGTTTTCTTAATTTTGACTAACTACTGCAACAATGTTCCCATTTCACCGTGTAACGCTCGTCCTTCTTTATACGCTTCTTAGATATAATATGTATTGCCCACAGATATATAGATTATCAGTGATACAGAATGTAAGAAAAAAAATGGGGGGAAAGGGTCAATAACATTTTTTTGAGTGTCGGCCCCTTTTGGCGGGTCCGTCGAGTGAGGGCAAACAATACAACATTTTTATTAGGGCCTACGTCATGATATCCAGTACACCGGACACGTCCAACCTGTGACAGAACTCACTCACTGAGCTCCAGAAAAGACGTCATTATAAAATATAATAAGTTACTTTCAAGTGTATGTAAGTCTCTATAGTCTAATTCCCAACACTTAGTTTAAGTTTTACTCAGTTTTAAAACAGCTACAGCTGTTTGTTAGAGTTATATATAGCATTAAATGAGTCTTAATATTTAATTCTTTACTATTTTAGACTGGTGAAAAAGGAACAGGAAGTAAGACATACATTTGCTATCTTACATTTCCTATAGGCCTTGTGCACCAAAACTCTTGTTTAATCAACCCTCTGAAAACACCTGTCCCGATGTAAAACAATCTAAGTTGCTGTACAATCCAGATTAACGAATGTATGAATAGATTAACAAACACTACCAACGCTAGGCAGTGGGCACAACTAACTGTTCCTTTCCAACACTAGGCCGGTTCTAAGCGGCGATGTTTGTAGCACTCTCTGATCTTTGCGTCGGCGTGGTGGAGACTTTCCCGCGACCGTCTCCCCGGGATTCGTTGATCGCGACTTGCTGGTGAATTTAGATTGGACCTGGAGTTGTTGAATAAGATAAAGTCGAAGCTTCTTCTCGTATCACTCTACAATTAAGAATCTGCATGCTAATTCTGAATAAGTTACACCACAGTCCACACACATCACGCAAGTCCACACAGACAGAGCGCACGCACGCATCGGCAGCACGGCACGCACGCACCAACACCACACACAGCAAATCACCAAATCTGCACCATCTATCATAAAGCTCACATTTAAACAAAACGGTTTCTTAGATTACGATATGTCAAAACCAAAAGATCGTTGTGACGAACTCCGTTGCGCGTTTGCAACTGTAACATACACTACTAGTCTAGAGTACAAGTGCTGGATTAGCAAGGTCAAACAATTTGGAAAATCAGCTCACCGTGCGCGAGCATAAACCAAACCAACCACACCAGCGGGAACCAAACAGCTGAATCGGCTGTATCCAGATAATGACCTATCGAATTTCAAATCACCGGGGCACGAAGTCGGACAGATGCATCAAGTAAATTACAAATGTCTATGCCCTGAAATCACATTACTGCCTTGGCATACAATTTTCATAGTGCAAAACTGTAGGTGGGCAATAAACAACCAATTGACTGTTACAAAATAATGACGGGGAAAGAGCGGGTTAAATAGTGACCAGTAGGAGAGCACAACTAATGTGATATTGTAACAGAGAACACATCAAAATGATCCATCAGAAGATCCTTGCCAAGTACAAACAAGTTTTCTTTTTCTTTTCAATAGGAGATCATTGAAATGGAAATGCAACAATTTTCATATGGACAGTCAAATACTAAGCCATTTACCATCCTTCATAGTTCCGTCATTGTTAGATCGCATAAGTCTGATCGTATTTGAGATGAGTGAAACCAGTCTTACGCATTCTCCTCTACTAGTACTCTGTACACAAGTGAGCAGCGGCAGAACTAAGTAGAATAAACTTGCAAAATTTAAAATGAACCCGAAGTGGCACGCAGCTGTGGTACGATCTCTCATCGTCAGATCCGTGTTATATCACAATCAATATGTAGATCACATAACTCCGCCTGGGAGCATAACAGCGTCAGGCGAAGTCGCTGTCGAAATGGAGACAACAGAATGCTAGTAGCGCGGCAATACCAACACTGTACAGGATATTTTTTGTTGTTTTGTAACAAGACGGACAGCTGGGTACAATACAGCAAAGTTTTTTAGATTAACTTTTTATATACTGCGCACATTAATGTAACTTTACCAATGTTGAGGCTAATAATTACTTCCTTGATAATACCAAAGAGTTGGGAGCGGTGGCTGACTGTGTAGCCTTGGATGTGTGTTTATATGCATGCGAGATTGTTCCCCTGACTAAATCCTATTGGTATTTATTAAATTGCAGCAAAACACTAACACGCGGCCCAAATTACAACAAACTAAAACAAACAGAAATAGCTTAAAATAATCTTACCTTAAATTTAATACACTAAAAATGTTAAATGACTTTACAACTAGCTATTTCAGATTTCACTTAGAATTTGCTGCTGCGGTTTTTTTATGCCAACTAAATACCACAGCGAACTGATTGTGAAACACATTTCAATTTCATTGGATGTGTCATACATGGATCAAACCAGAGCTCAGTTTATAACACCTTGGTCAGGGTTTCTCTTAAATACACCAAGAGGCAACAGTTGGCGCACCCGCCGTTCTGGTCAAATTTAAACTGGAAGAGTTTTACTCTAGGTCTATAGGTTATTTTCAGCTAATCTTAAGGCTTAATAATTACGAATAACATAAAAAGTTTCATGGTCAATCACCATTAGAAATATTTTTTTTAAATGTTTTAAAACTAACGACTACCGTCGTGAATTACAACGACGTGGCGCCACTCAAGATGCGCACGATCTGATAAGGTTCCGCAATGACCACTTTCCAAGCCAAGGGCTAACCAGACGGCGAGGGTGCTTTCTCTATTTTATTCACTTAAAAACAAAAGAATGATTGTAATATCTTATAAACGACATATAGTTTTCAGTTATAATATGGATAACACTTGCCGCTATAATAGAATACTGCGTTCTGCGCTTAAATAGCTTTGGTATAAAATATAATATGCACCTTTTCGGCGAATTAGCCCTCGTCTGGTAACGGTGCAAAATAAATTGTACAAATACGCAACTTTTTATCGGTTTGGCAGCATCGGTCGCGGTGTCATGGCGCAGTTCAAATTTCGTTGAAAGCGTTGATGTGTAATTAATTATAACAATTAAATTAGGCATCTGGTAACAAATAAGTGGGGTATCAGAAGATTTGTTATACAGTAAGTACAATTGTATGCAGTAAACTCTAAGGCTACTGTCTCTTTAACAAGTCGCCGTGTGGGAAAATGTTCCTGTTATTTACTGATCATGTAATACTCCGCTAATT